CATGGCCCTAGAGTCAAGCTGATAATGAGATTCACAGCAATTAACAGGCAAACTGCCAAAATTAAAGTGTCTCAGGAAAATATAGACTGGCAACACAAGTGTGAGTTATTTCTAGCTTGGTGGGCCCATAATTCCTCAAGTCATTAGGGAAGAAGAGATGTAACACACCAATGGGCTTGTGACCAAGGAGTGGATTTGACCATGGATACTATATCCCAGGTAATCCATGATTGTGAGATGTGGGGTGTAATCAAGCAGGCCAAGCAGGTAAAATCTCTGTGGTATGGGGGGCATTGGTATGAATGCAAGTATGAGGAGGCCTGGCAGATTGATTACATCACACTGCCACAAACCCACTAAGGCAAATGCTATATTCCTACAATGGTAGAAACTACCACTGTTAAAAACCACACTGAAGGCAATGATTTATGGGACCTTTAAGCTGTGGCATCTGCATTTAGCAAAGGCTGTCTGGTTAGTTAACACCAGAGGTTTGATTAACTGAAGTGAATCATTACCTCTGTGCACAGTAGATGGAAACAATGTCACCATGACGAGTATGAGAGCTGTGTCAGGAAAGACAGTTTGGGTTAATCCCATTTCAAGCAAAGGCAAACACAGCCATAGGATTGTTTTTGCTTGAGGACCTGGTTACACTTGGTGGGTAATACAGAAGGACAGGGAACCAGTTCATGTACCTCAAGGGGATTTCACTTTGGGTGAGAATAGTCTGTAATGTTGAATTGCATATGTAACACTTGTTGCTGATGGCAATGCCAGTCCATGTTGGAAATAACATGAACAATGAGAATTAACTGCTCCCATTATATGAGTCATGGACCAAATGAACTCAATGCATATCTTGGGGGAATAATCAGTGACTACTGAAATAATACCTGTATTTGTATATAGTTGTTTATAAGTGTATATGTAAATAGTTAAAAGATATTAATTGGGACATGATATAGATGATATGGAATAAGGAGTGAATAAAGTCTTCAATGGGTGACCCAAAAAATGTGAATTGTATTCCACTATTCCTCTATGTTAGTCCATGCAGTTTGTGTTACTGTCCCATTAAGACCCAGGGATCAGAAAACTGCATTTGTCAATCCTAGACTGTTTCAGAGGAAATGTCCTAACAACTTTTTTGGTCACAGTTGCCATGGGCAATCCCTGTCCCTGCAGCTGGAAGAGGACTTTTTTTTTGGGACCTATGTTTTTGCTTCTGCCACTCAGGACAGTCATGCTGTGAAAACTGATCCTCTCCTCTTCCTCCATGAGTTACAGCTGCTGCCCCAGATCCAGCTGCCACATTGACAGAGCTGCCACCACTAGGAGAGACCCTGTCAAGTGGTATGGAGCAAATGATTCAGCAACATTTGACTGGTTTTGAACAGGAATAGTTCTTCAAGTTCTCCAGGTTTCCTTTGTTTTATCCTTGTTCCCCCTTTGCTGTTGTTTGGGGCAAGAGAGAGTTTTGTAATCACGGAGGTTCAGTTGTACTGTTCGGGGTTTTTTTATCTTTGCTCTCTCTCTATCACGTGGCTGGGAGAATGTATCTTCTTTTGCCATCCTGTCTTTGTTGCCTGGCTAATGTGGTCTTCTTCAAAAGTCTCCATATTGGGGGAGGGGCTTCTCTGCCATCTTGTTTACTTTGTTCTTGGGGAGTCCATAGGATTCAGAACCTTTGTATCTAGTGGTTATTACTGTTATCTTGATTGTGGCTGGGTTTATTTTAGCAAACTTGCTTTTCAACTTATATCTTCTTGCATTTGTCTCTCTTTGTTGGTGACAGGGGAGTGGTTGAACTGAAAAAGAAGGTAGCTTGTTTCCCAAGCTCCACCCCATGAATTCACTTCTCAGGAAAAAGCATTCAGTTCTGGCCTCAGAGTTGAAAGCAACATCTATGTGGCAATCAAGGAACTGTAGAAACGCAGATCATAGCTACAAAATGCTGTTCCTAACTGTGAGCAAATCTACAGTTGTTAAAACTGTCCTAAAAGATATAGCAATAGCTGCACTATGCCTTGTTAGCTTGCACTTCTCTCTTCTATACTCTGTCACACAGTACAAAGTGGTGGCATAATTTTTTCAGGTTTCTCACCAAGCTGAGATAATTCAAAGGATAATTCCACTTCTCTAAGAAAACAAAAGCCATGATATAAAGATGCTGGTCTCCATCAATCTTTACAGCAAACCAGCTAAGCTGGCTTACATAGAAACGCAGACAATGAAGTCTGCTAACAGTGACAAGAATTTATAGAAGTCTAAAACAGGAAAACTTACTGCACAGTTACAATAGGTACATCTCCTGAACTGATCTATGTGGCTAATTTTGTTCATTCAAAGTCTCAGAACTTTATTATTACAGAAATTAATAGGAAAACACTACATTAAAAGAAAATCATCATTGGCTAATTCTTGCTAAAGGAATATGCATGTGCCCATCCTGAGTACATAGGAACAAAATTTTACAAGAAAATTTTATATGATCCTGCAACCATGTACACAATATTACTTATGAAAAAAAAAAAGCATATGACCAAAGTCAGTAGAAAAAAAAATCATACTTTCTCATGACAGTCTTGAAACAAATAAAAGTGATTGACAAGGAGGGTTCATAATTATTTGAGGGACAAAACACCAGGCAGCTTTACTCAGAAAGTCAGTACTGAATTTAAAGTTACTTCCTGAAGCTGTACTCCTATACAAAGCTAAACAACTAAACATTTTGCAGATATCTTTTTATTCAGCCTTTATTCAACCTCTTTATTTTAATTATTAGTTTTATTTTATACTTGGCAGTAAAGATTTCAATAAACTGCATGGAGCTTACTAGTGATTAAATACAGTGTTAAAAAAGACATCTATAACATTATATTGGAAAATATATGTTCAATTTGCACTTTATTTTCCTAGTTCACTGTGATCTGGCTTTGTTAGAGTTTTTTCATTTTATAACTTGCATAAATGGGATTCACAAAATGCAGCAACTCAATTAATTTTCAAATATTTAATAAGCAACAGAGAAATATACATATTTCTCTGTCGAAGAAAAAAAAGTTCTTTAAGCACTAGCATTCAACTCTTTTCTTCTTGACTGTAGCCCAAAACTTCTCTACCATTCTCATCTGCTTTTCTTACAAAACTCATTTATTTTTCAACTGTGAAATGTGTCTACAATTTTCTATGTATCTTTCCTGAAAATACATTCCCGAATTAGATGACAGAATACCAAAAAGTTATAAAATCCACATAGATATCTAGGACTGCAGATCATCAGATCTTCATTTCTCAGTAATGTGAAAAAAAGAGTAAGAGCTCAGCTCAGAAAGGTACTTAAGAATTCCAAAAACATCACTTAGGCCTCTTGCAGAGGGAGATTTATCAGTCTACAAAAGTGAAGTTTAATTTGAGCATATCTTATTAGTTGCCCAAATCATCCTTCAATACTGAAGATCCTCCTTCTGAGTCTTAGAATGGGAAAACTCTGGGCTTCTTGGGTTTTACTTTTCAACATCTCAGATTTTGCTGAAGTCAGCTGATGTTTACAGTGCTTCCCAAATGTTTGCCTATGGGATTTTGTAGTGGCAGTCAAAAGAAAAAACATGTAGAAATCACAATGTTTTGGAATTACAGCACTTCCAGACAATGCCTTTTATTCTGCAGCACTGTTGTTTGATCACCAGCTTTGAGAGAGAACAAATAAGCAATCCGAAGCACTGAATATTTTTGCTCAAGCAGTTAAAATATTTTTTAAAGGATGGGTTAATCTTTGAAACTTTAGTTCTAAGCACATTGTATCAGCAGAACACACATATTGGCACTACAGAATCAATGAGAAGCATACTTATTTTGCTGCTCCATTAAAAAACATGTCTGTTCCTTGTAGACAGTGGCTCTAAGACTAATGTTTCTCATCACTTAGTTTCTTATGTTTTCTCACTAACATTAAACAAAGCAGTAATTCTCTGCCAGTATTTGATAAGGCATTTCCATCTGTACATAAAATAGATTTTTGACATTTCAGTGGAGATATTTTCTTTGTGTTCCTTATTTCTGCCCACCATGACACTATTATATATATTGGTGGGTAGAATTTTCAGGACAATCCTCCACAACATTGACTGAAATCAGCACTGTAAGTTCCTGTTGTTTGACTATAGGATCACATCACTGTCAACAAGTTGAAATAAATAGGAAACTCAGGCTAAACACATTAGCAAGCAGAGCCTTCACTGACCATTTTGGTAGAAGTCAGCCCCAGAGACAGGCTTATTTCCCCACATTTATATTAAAATTAAACAACTACTCAGCACTGTGTTACATTTAAGAATATGTAGATGGCACTGTGTGTCACACAAGATTTCACAAGCTGCTTCCTCTCCCATGAAAAAGACTATGGGGCTGGATCCTTCCTGTCTAGCACACTAGGCTATTTTTAAATTATCACCCCTTGAAAAACAGAAAACTCACATTTAACTGTCTGCTATTAGAAAGTTAATAATGGGCTCATTTTAGCACATAAATCATATATTTCATAAGGCTTATTTTAATTTACAGCTTCTTAAATCTCCTAAGTATATGTAGTAGACCTATGCTCCCTGGACTGGATTACGTTTTTCACTAAGTCCCATTTATAATTTCCAGACAGGAAGTGTTAAATTAGATAAAGGCTATATTTATCCTTTAGGACAAAGAAACAGCAGGCTAGCTTTACACTCAATTACTATACAAAGAGTGTCTCTGTGATACCTAATAATTATATGGGAGTCAACCCATGTATACTATAACTCATCACAAAGTCTAGTCTCACTATCAGAAGTGAAAATTGAAAGCAGGAATAAACAATACAAACACATTTTAAAGTTCTTTATCATGTAGTATAGAAAGACTAATATGTAATATACAATAATGCACATTGCTATTCAAACAAGGTCATACCAATCTGTGATAGTGCTGCAATATTCCTAGGCAGCCACCATGCTCATTTTTACCTCCAATCATCCTTTGAGAGATTAGATAAAATATTCATCTCTTCATCATCTTGCAAAAGACGATATGCCGCACTAACATGGTGATTTTCAAGTACAGACCGGTCATTATATAGAATGGCTGAGTCTGACCTAGCATTTAAAAGAAAACATAGGAAAGGTTGGTTTTGTCCTGTCTAAAGAGACTCAGAAGTTTTTTTCCCTTTAATCAGCTACAGCAATTAAGTCTATAGAATAGATATGAGCATTTTAAGAGTTCTTGTAATACTATATTAATTGCTGTTACTCAGTAAAAGAAATCTAAAGAACATTGCAAAATTTATTTCACCAGATGAGACTCACCTAACTGCCTTGTTACATACCTGAAAACAAGTGCTGAAAGCTGTGTGAGATATGTAAACTTAGACTAGAACCATGAGTCTTTTTCCTAGCTCTCATAGATGTCTCAATGACATCAAAATCTGACTGTACCCAAGTAAGGAATTGCAAGATGTGACTCAACATTGTTTCCAGAACAGCAAACTGGCTGTAGGTGAGAAATAATTAATCTGATTTTTGACATCTATGTGCTAGACTATGCTATCTGGAAAGGCAATTGCCAGTGGGACAGAGTAGGACCAAAGGTACTGCATGCCTGATTTTAAGCCCCAGAACAGAAATCTGTGATTGATGAATGGGTAAACTGGTCTGAAGACAAAGAAGTTAACAGCACCAGAGGGTGAATATGTTTAGTTACAGTTCTCACTCATATCTGCTTCACAGAAAGCAGTGTATGTTTTTATCCTCTGACACTTCACAACATCTGATGTTCAATGTTAGGAAAATTAAATTACGACAATCCTTCCTTGAATATTTTTACAAGTATTTGCCTGTATGTATAAAGTTGTAAGAAGAGTAGTGTGGCTTCACCCAGAATAGAGACAGAGACTTCTTTCTACATTCCCAGTCTTTACTGTATTTATGTGTGCTTTATCCTGGAAACCATTATTGATGCACAGCACGATTCAGCTAAAAAAAACTACAGACATCTATTTTAATTACAGACATGTCATCTAATTTAATTACAATGCATCTTAAAAATGCCCCAAGTGTGCATTGTAAGCTGAGGACAGTTAGAAATTTTGGCATTTCTACCAGTGTACTTCTGTTCTCAAATGATACACAGACATTGGATGTTCAATAATCACTGAAACTAGAAACTTCATAATCTTTGTACACTTCTGAATTTTGCTGCCATCTTCATCTTATTTTCCTCTCTTCCACCAACCCAAAAGCTTTATAAAATACACAGGTCCAGTCTAGTTTGTGATCAGTTAATTATGCACTAGCAATTTATGATGCTTTTAAAAAGTATTTCCCTGATTAGGCAGTGGTAAGCATATCCCCTTGCTGCAGGTGGGGTTTTCCACTAAAGTGAAAATAGTATGTGTAGTGTTCATGTTCACTGATGAATGCAACAAACATGGTTGAATGCTGATATTGTTTGAATCCTCAAATTCAACAGGAAGAAAACCTGAAAAATTACAATATCTCCTTCAAGACTTTATCTTTGTAAAAACACATCACTCTATACAGCCTTTTGTCTGTGAAAACTTTACATGGAAATATTTTTGGAACTTTCTTTTTCCTGGTTATTAATATGAAACAATGCTCTGGAATTTAGAATACACACATTCCATTGTGAATGTCTGAACAATAGAAAATTAAATGCAACCTGAGAAAGTTAACTTTCCTCCTGTAACACTTGAAAGCAGAAGTTCCTGCACTTTTCTAAAGTGGCTGTGCTGTTATTCTCCAGAGATTTTTCCCTTTATTTCCTGACCCTTCATCATGATTTACAGTTGCCTCACCTTGTCTGGATGTGAAAATTGTTGGTGGTTCCAGTGTGTTCATAGTCATGTATGGCAGCTGCAAAAATCATAGCGAAGATCTCCAGCTCTGTCAGCCAGTGCTGAAAAGAGATTACAGTACAATCAGGTAAGTTGTCCTTTTCTCAGGCTTTTGTCTTCTAAGGAAAGTTATTTATCCTCTGTTGACAGTCAGTGTTGCATGTCATTACCTTTCCCCTGAAGTCTGCCAGCTGTTTTAAAGCAAATTTCTCTGGCTGATACATAAAAGCCAAAACAGTGTTCATCCTGAACCTTCATCTAAATAAATTGAACTTCAGCAAAATTGTTTCAGGGGCTAATAAGGTTTAAGGCAGAGTAAGGGGAACTGTGCCCTTCTGAAAGAGCAATGTTTCAAGAAGAGAAACGAGGAAAACTCAAGAAAATCAAGGTTCATCAAGGGGAAATTAATATATATGCAGGTAAACACATACCACAAGTGTATGTATTTTCAGTTCAGTTTATTTGCATAGCAGAAACTCAGATATAGAAGAATATCACTATTTTCCAGAAAATTAAAAATATTTGTCAATCACTGAATCATGAAGAGAACAAGAAAGATAACCTCAAAAGATGTACATCTTGTTACTTATTTATAATTTTTAAAAACACTTTAAAAAGCCTGGAAATTTGTGGAATTTTTCCTAATTCCCTAGTCAAAGGCTTATGTTACAATGCTTAAGTCACTTTTGCCTTAGATTTATAAGTTATTCAGGTGGTTTTAATAATTTTTATCTGAGTCAAATTATTTTATTGTCTTGTTATCCATTGAAAAGGGGGAAAAGGAGTCAGAGGTTTTAGATACCATAGATGTTGTAAATATTTGTATGAAATGCTGAAACGTATTGCATTTAGAAGAAGACTTTACCACAGTGACTGCCAAATACTTCTGTAACACCTCACTGTCAACCTGCAAATGTTTTGACAGGCATTTATATACAAACTGCCTTTTAATTCAAGGCCCAGCAAAGGCACTAAGACATCCAGAATCTATTCTAGACATCTAGAGCTCAGAGGCCGCCACTAGTATGAAAAGCATGTGCAAAAAAGCAGAGCTAACACTGGGACTCTGCACACAGCAACCTGTCTAGCTCTTTATCTGTGTTTCACAGTCATCTCTGCATAATCAGTGAAGAATGGAGCAAGTCCCAGTATTAAAGATCCCCTTACATTAAATACATAGTTTGGTTTTGGGGGGTTCTTTCGGGTTTGGTTTTTTATTTCTTTTTAGTCTTCTACATTCTCTCTCTCAGAGGAAAAAAGTCCAAATTTCTCCATTGCTTACTCATGTATTTTCATGTCCTTCTATTTTTCTCTCTTTAAACACTTTCCTTGCTTTATTGCACTCAGAGACACCATAGGAAATCCCATTCAGCACTGTGCATCACAGGCTAGAACGAAATAGGAGTCGTTCACTCACATCTGAATTGTTGTTAAATGACTAACAGATCAAGAAGTAGCAAGATGGAAAAATAGGAAGTTCTGAACTACTAGGCTGGTCAGCTATATTTGGGCAGTGTTGTAATCCAGTAATCTTTTGGAGCATGAAAACTGCCCTTCTTCTATGGTTTGAGGGGAAAAAGGGAATCCATTTCCACCCCACCAGAATACAATTCACATTACTCAACATTGCACCTGTTCCTACTGACCACAGCTTGCAGTGCACTTTCAGTAGCTAATAGTCCTAAAAGCAACAGTGACCAATTTACTATCTCACAGGTGGTTTTGAGTAGGTAACTGTATTACCTGCAATTCTGACCTAAGTCCTTTTTACTTCAGTGTTGTGTGTTTTGCTTTGAATGCATCTTTGCTCCCTGTTCTCCCTAATCCCTATCCTTCCCCAGTTGCTAAATTTCCCAAGCCCTTCCCTAACCTCCTCCCTTCCAAGTTGTCAATCCTCCCTATCCCTACGCGTTTCTCCAGAGAGTTCTGTGTCTGTCCTGTTGCCCTTGACAGCCCATTCATTACTTTGTATTATTTCCCTCCTGTTTTCCCTGATAGGCTCATAAGCTATTTGCCCCACCTTACATTCCTCCCTTACCACATCCTCGTTGGTTCACTTTCCTACACCGCTACTCCTGAGCTGCTGTATAAAAACTTCTGTTCACTCCCACTCCCCCCACCTCCCCCAGTCTCGTTTGGGAGCCCATTTTGTTCTACTCCAAGACCCGTGTCATCGCTGTCTGTCCCTGCACTGGACTGGCCGATAACTGGGAATTGCAGAGCTCGCAGGAGGACGGTCGCGCTCCTGCCGCAGCCGCCCAGCACGCCTCGCCCGGTGCGCTGCAACACTTCTGGCACAATCAGAAGCAAGTGATACAAGTTCCATAAGGATCAGCCGATCTGAATCAGCTCTTGAGACAGATAGCACCCAACTCCTTCCAGATCCGCTTCTGATAAACAGTAGCATTTATTGCTCCAATTGCAGTGTGACTGCAATTCACAAATGCATTCTACATTCAACACAGGAAACTTGAGATGTTAACAGGAGGCTGTGGAGTGTGTGACTCCTCAAGGAAGATCATCCAGTTCTGGTTTCAGAATTGAAAGCAACACCTGTGTGGCAATCAAGGAACTGTAGAAATGCAGATCATGTGTACAAAACATTGTTCCCAAGTGTGAGCAACTCTACAGTTGTTGAAACTAGCCTAAAATACTTAGCAAGTGCTGCACTATGCCTTATTAGCTTGTACCTCTTTGTCCTATACTCCATCACCCAGTAGACACTAGTGGAAGCATTTTTTTGGGTTTGTTATTGAGCTGCACAGAAAAAGGTATCACCAGCATACAAGTATCAGCACAAGTGTCACAGACAGACAATTTTTATAGTGATTTTTTATAGCTGATCAAAGGTGCTCATTCCTGAGAGACAGTGTTAGAATTTGGTTGGGCTGAGGCACGTGGTTTTTCCTTATTTTTTTTTTTCAATAGTTCCAGATACAGAGTTTGTAATAATTGGGGAGTGTTCAAGAAGGCCTGAGCTGCGTAAGAGCCTCAACATCTGCTGACCTGGGTTTGTGTGTCTGTTTTGCAATACAAAGACTCCATGACCGTGCAACTGCACACTGGTAAGTGAAAGGACCTCTGAGAAATGAAGTGCAATAGAACAGAATTACATGTATTCAAGTACCAGCCCCAAACAGAGCAATCACTGAATGGCCATGGTATAACAGGACATAATTGCTAAGCATTTAACAGATTAACCTCCTTTTCACTGTCACCTTTGCCTCTACACTTCTGCCAATGCAAGAGCAAGGGCAAATTAGATACATGGAAAAAAGTGAGGCAAATAATGTGTGGAAAAGATTGGCTCCCAGAATCAGACTAAAGATAATTCCTTTTTCTGGCTGCAGCAGTAACCAGGAGAAAGAAGAATAGATCCTTTGAACTTTCCTTGCTATTTATTCTCCCCAACCATGTAGACCTGCAACTTAATGAGCCTCCAGCTAAATCCAAACTGCAAGGGAATCACTTCACTCTGGAATCTGTCTTCCTTCAATTTCTCTAGTCCATCCTCAAATGTATTTCTGCTGTTTGTCTTGAGAGCCACTGTGGGAACTAAGTTTTTTTAAGCCCTCTGTCTATTCCTGGCATTGTTATCAGACTTCAGCTGTCTGTAGGTTTTGGTGCAAGCTAATCCAGATATTTTTGCTGTAGAGAAATGGATGGAGATCAGCATTTCCAGTTCCCAGCACTTGTTATGCTCAGATAAGTGGAATGAATTATCATTTGGATGTACTGTCTCCCTACCTTAAATTAAGAAGAAAGCTCAGACAATGCAATTCGTCAAATTAGGTTAAATGAATTCCAGTAAATGTGTGTTGGCAGATTCACACAGAAGATCTGTGGCAGAGTGAAAAACCAAGCTTGGCTTTCTCATTCATCCTCTCATACATCCTAACATAACTTTTAAAAGAATTATCAACAATGTCACGCTCTGTTCATAAATAATCCAAAGTATCTACCTTTATTAGTCCAGCTATATCAAATTAAGTGTGTCTAGAGTGTAAACAGGTTGTACTGTGGATAACCATTAACTCATTAATAAGCAGAAACTCTTGTAAACTCACTATATATTCAGGATGCCAAGTCTTTTACTTACCACAGTGCCTGTCTTGAAAAGGAGGTAATGGACTGTCTGTGAGACATCTGCAGCATGCATTAGGTTGTGATAAGGATTTTTGTGTTTACTGTAGCCAACCTCCAGAGCTTCAACAAAAGACACCAAGGCAGATATGGGAATCTAAATAAAGCAGCACAGATTTAAAGAAAGGAAAAAAAACCCACCCAAAAAAAACCCCCATCACCAAACAAACAAACAAAAAAACCCCAACCCCCCCCCCCAGTTTTAATGGCTAGCATTCAGACCAGGAGTATTTTGATAACAGGTTATGGCAGCATCTCTCTGGCCACAGAAAGCAATGCACAACTTTCCCAGGCATTGCCCTGGGGAAGGCTGTGAGAAGATCAAAGGAAAGAATGATAAACAATTCTGATCTTCACTTGCTGTACCTGTTGTTGTGAACATATGGAATATGTTATGGAGATTTGTTTACCAAAGGGTGGTTTCTTAATTGGCCAATGGTGATGGTGCTTAGATTGAAGGACCAATTGGGTTCATCTGTATCGTGACTGTCTGTAAGGTTTCTTAATAAGTATAGTATAATAAAAGTGATTGGCCAGCCTTCTGAGAAGCATGGAGTCAATGCTAATTATCACTCCTTTGCAGATGCCATGTTATGACAATAGGTTCTCAAAGAGTCATCTGTACTTTACAGACAAACAAAATGCTAGAACTTTTGAAATAGTCACTCGAGAGAGAAAATTAATTCAGGTTACTACTTCAAATTGTTTTTTCCATCCATAATTACATTACATGTGAATCCTTCTCACAAATAAATACACAGAAATAAGTATATTATGAAATTTTGTCTGGAGCCCACATAGAGTATCAAAAGTAACAGCAACCACTGGATTGATTGCCAGGGAGAAATATTTCCAAATAGATTGCAAGCAACTACCTGTTATCTTCACAATCCACTGGAATCTATCTCTGCTTTACTACTCACAGTTAGGACTTTCTAATGAAACACATGATCTAGCAAATCTTAGATAGTCTCAGAGGACTATAGTTTATCAGACCTCTGGGTTTTTCATAGCAAAATCCAACCTGCCCATCCTATGGGATTGCCATGTTTTTCTGACTTCAAGAGTAACTGCAATTACCTGACAAAATGCAATTCAGGGGATTTGTAGAAAGGAGACTATGCAGGTGGTAATGTATATAACTGACAACATGGGTTGTCCAGTTCCATCTGCTCAGACAGCAAACACATTAAATGATAAGATTTCCATATAAAAGATCATTGCTCCTCTTAGGTACATACAAACAGAGGATGCAGATTTAAGCAGACATCTTGATGTCTCATCAGGCATACGTAGTTCCTGAAAAATTATGGTATCTAGGCATCTGTAAACTCTTTCCAGCTGAAGTGAGTGGGAAACCCTGGGAAATGGAAATGTCAACAGTGGAAGAGATGGCAGAGTATCTGTGTGGGGTGAGTGGTCAAGAAACAGATGGCAATGTTTCCTCTTCAAAGTTGGAGGAAACCTCTGTAACAATTACAAAATTATAGAATAGTTTGGGATGGAAGGGACTTTTAAAAGTCGCCTAGTCAACCTGCTCTGCAATGAACAGGGACATGTTCAACTAGACCAGTTTTCTCAGTGTCCAGTCTGATCTTGGGTGGTAGGGATGGGGCACCTACCACCTCTCTGGGCAACATTTTCCAGTTTTTCACCACTCTCACTATAAGAAAATCTTCCTTATATCTAGTTCAAATCTATCCTATTTTAGTTTAAAATCATTAGCCCTTGTCCTACTGCTAAAAAGTTTCCCCCCATTTTTCTTGTAGGTCCCCATCAAGTACCAGAAGGCTGCAATGAACAATCCACAGAATCTTCTCTTCTTCAGGCTTAAAAGCATTATCTCTGTTGGCCTTTCCTCAGAGGAAAGGTGCTTCAGCCCTCTGATAATTTCTGTGTCCCTCCTCTACAATGGCTCCAATAGTCCATGTCTTTCCTGTGCTGAGACCTCCAGACCTGGATGATCTGGATGCAGTACTACAAATGGGGTCTTATGAGAACAGAGTTGGAGTAGAATCACTCCTTTGACCTGCTGTCCAATATAATTGGGATGAATTTGAATTTGTTTTCATATTCTCCTGTTCTCTTTTGTGCCTGCATGCTTGAGGGTCCTATGAAGCTCAGGAAAATTACACCATCATTCTCAGAGGAGCAAATGCAGTATTTCTAATGGATTTCATTTGGAACCCCACTTAGTTCATGGCAATTGACAGTACTACTTAAATCACATCTGGTTTTGCTTATTAGGGAAGGTGCAATGTTCACAAATTCTTCAAAGATCACTAAAATTGCATTTTTAATTGAAAATAGCAGGATGAGAGGGAAGTTGAAAAAAATTCAAGATGAATGAAGATAGGCATCTTCTAACTACTGACCTTGAAATGGTTGATCAGATCATAGCGTGTGAGAAGTTCATAGAAAATGAATTTCAGTGCATGATCTCCACTGGCATCATTTAGTGCAAATACATCAAAGGACCACTTGTCTACATTCTGCAAGAGGAGGTAGAAAAAACAGTTAATATGGTCATAATTTTTACCGTGATCATTTAATTTCTTCACTTTCTCTACAATTTGAGAATTCCAGTAGTGATAGAAAGGTATTATTTATTTTTCAATAAATTCTTCATAATCAATTTAACCAATGAATAAGTATCAGTACACTTATTAGTACTGTGTGACTTCTGTTTAAGAAGCTTCCATTAAGAACATGTATGCTGTTTGTTTATTCTAAACATGGCAATTCTCTACACTGGAATTTAATCACCAAAAGATGAATCCTAAAAGATAAAAACCCTGATTTGCTTTAGTACCTGAGATATTGAGATGGTCCTCTTTGGGCTGATGTGATATATTAAGTGCTAACAATTATACAAAATTCCTACCTTTATAACAGAAGAATAAATATCTAATTCCATTTGAGACAGTTACAGTCAACTGTAAATTATATACTAGTGTTTCAGGTTGGCCACTCAAGAGATCAAGGAGGGGAAATTCACTTCTCAGCTCCTACATCTAAAGTTTAAGGTCTAACCTTCTTGCAGAAGTTTGAGTTTGAATCTCAAATGTTAGGGAAGGCTGTGGGAGATGACAGCATTCATTATCTAGCAAGAGATTAAGAGAAACACTGATTTTTTTCTAAATGCTCAGTGTCATAGCTTCCTGTATCTTCTTAACCTTAGGGACTTGGTATATAAGTCAACAAGCAAATTCAGGAATAGATGTTATTCTGCTCAACATTACTGGAAGGCATGACATTTTTGTAGCCACAGATAAGCAGAAATCTATACTACAGACATTGTGACTACAGGTTCTGTGTTCATTAACTGTATATTTGCTAGCCTAGAAAATATTCCTGTCATGGCATGGGCATCAGAAAAGGGTGAAAAATTCAATTGAAAACCATGTAACTCCTTCAGCAGTAATTAATGTGAAGTTCTGTCTGTAGCACTAGACTGATGAACAGAAGATCATTACAGCATACTCTGTAAACATGTCTCTATGAATGGTTTGTATAGCCACTATTCAAATGAAAGACAAGGCTGATTGTCCTTTTATGGCAATCAGTCATATCTTCACCCCATGTCATACAGAAAGGCAACAGATTACTGTAGTAGAAAAATTAGTATAAAATATATAGAGAGAAAGATGTATATAAATTCGTATAAAATATATAGTGAGAAAGCCCTCAAAAAAAAAAAGCCAAACTTCTCATCCACTGAAAATGTGAGACAGATTATACATCTAGAACTTGCACTGCTACAACCTTCATTTTTTTGCAGAAGCTGCAGTATTTCATTATTTTTAAAACCAACGTCTGTCACAAAGCTGTGATTCCACAGCTTTGGGTTATTAAGTGCAGATGTCCTCTTGACCACAGCAGCAAAAATGAGAATTTGTAGTTAAAAAATAAGCTTATTTTGACTTCATTTCATCTCAATCCTTGTCCTTATTAGCATGACTCTGAGGAGAATGTTAATTATGGCAATCCAGAACAGCTGAAGATGTGTGTGTATTGTACACTCCTACACCCTTTTGTGTGCTTAAGTCATCAGGTCATTTTATGGAGCACACTAAGCAGTCAGGTTGCTGTGAAGGTTTTTTAATTGACCTTACTGTGCTGAAGCAAGCAACAAAATACATCATTTTCAATGGAGGAGATGGAACTGAGAAATTTCAGATGAAATATGGTTTTTAAGACAGAAGACTTCACAGAATCATAGAATATGCTGAGTGGAAAGGACCCACAAGGTTCATAAAACCCACATCCCCAAGAATCACACCATGTGCCTGAGAGCATTGTCCAAAAGCTTCTTGAACTCCATTAGGCTTGGTGCTGTGACCACTTTGCTGGGGAGACTGTTTTGATTTCTTCAAAGTAACTCCCATTTCAACCAAATCCATTACCAAACCCAAAAACATCCAGGCAAAGAAATGTTCTCAAAACAGTTTTGGAAAAAAAAAA